TACTACTACTACTTACTACTACTTACTACTACTTACTACTACTAACTACTAGTAACTACTAGTAACTACTAGTAACTACTACTAACTACTACTAACTAACTACTAACTACTACTAACTACTACGAACTACTACTACTACCTACTACTAACTACTACTACTACTACTACTATTACTACTACTACTACTACTACAAAAACTATTACTACTTCTATACCACTACAGCTACTACTACTACTACTTCTAACACTAATACCAATACACTTTTGCTACTACTAATACTACTACTTCTACAACTACTACTACCTACTACCTGTACTACTACCCATTCCGCTACCTATACTACGACCTATACAACTACCTATTCTTTTACCGATGCTACTACCTATTCTACTGCCTGTGCTACTACCCATACTACCACCTTTACTACTATTTGTGCTGCTACCTGTGCTTCTCTATTCCTCCTCCTCCTCCTCCTACTACTACTACCACTACTACGACGACGACTACTACTACTACCACTACTAACTCTACCACTACTAACTCTACACTGCTACTAACTCTACTACTACAAACTCTTACTACTACTAACTCTACTACTTTTTTGTTCTGCTACTACTAACTCTGCTACTAGTAGCTCTACTACTCCTACTACTACTACTACTACCACCACCACTACCACCGCTACCTACTACCTACTACCCACCTACCCACTACCCACTAAGTAATACCTACTAAGTAATACTTACTAAGGAATACCTACTACCTACCACTACTACTACTACTGCTGCTACTACTACTACTACCACCTGTTCTACTACTTCTACTCCTAGTCCTGCTCGTACTCCTACTAGTATTGTTTTTATTGTTGCTATTTCTACCACTGCGGCTGCTGGTGTTGCCTACCGCTACCGCTATTGCTACTCTACCACGAGTGCTGGTACTAGTGCTAGTATAGGTACTAGGTGCTAATGCGCAGTGCTGGCTTTTTGTTTTGGAGGAGGGTTCAAAAAACAAACTTGGGGCTGCAGCTTGTGTTTCTAGAAGGTTGGGGGGCTGCAGTTTTTGTTTGTACCCTGTCGTTGTCGTTGTTGTTGCTGTCGTTGTGTTTGTGTTCTTGCTGTTGTTAAAGGACAGCAACAGAATTGCAGCTGAAGTCAGTCCATTTAAACACATCCAAGATTGATTTTCAATGGTCAGGCCCTAATCTGAATGGAGCCAGCGCCTCACACCGTGATCCTTCAAGAACCCTCCTTCTGTGGAATGTGAAGCGCTTTGAGGTCTACATTGCCAGGAGCTGATTTCATTGCCACTAGCGCTGCTTCAATGTTTGTCCATGGGCTGTGGGGTTGTCGGCTGTCAAGGTGGACGCTTGCTTACTGCCGGCAGGGCCCTTCTCTGCGGCGGCGTTGGTGGCTCAAGGTGCACAGGCCGGGCTTTATGGCCGGATTGAACGGTTGATTTGATTTGAACTTGTTTTGATTTGAGGGTCTTTGTTTCCTTTCTCCTCCTTTTGGTGCGACGTGAGCAACACGTGGTATTCCATCGACGCACTGCAGTATTCAAACGGTCAATGTTGCAGGGTCGGGGAAACTTGATCCATATCTCACGGTAGGTTCTGAAGATTGAGTCTGGAGTCTCAGAATGCACCTGTCGCAGCCGGCTTGAAGAGAGATGCGGGAAAATGGCCCTGCCACAGACAGGGAATGTTTGCAGCTACATGAGCAAGGCACAGTTGCATCTATCTATTTTAGCTACAGGCCAGATTCTGCAAGGGCAGGGATGAGTTGCAATCTTGGTGTTGCCAGCAGCGGATAGAAGGATGCAAGGGCCCCAGCTCAGTTTCCAGCCGTTAAGGGCTTTAGAGCTGAGGCCAGGAGCAGGCTGATCAACTGGGGCAGGAGGTGTGAGGCCCTCATTGGATGTGTTGAATGTAGCACGATTTGTTCTTGTTGCGAAGATCAGTGCGAACTTAGGATAAGTCCTTATTGTCAGCACACCCGAAAATTGACAGTTTTGAGTCTTGAGCAAGAAAGGAGTCGGTTGGCTTTGGAACAGCAGCCGAACCAAGGAGATCATCTGGAGGAGATTGGGAGCTGGTGCCGCAGCCGCTGGTAGGGCACCCGGTGTTGGATGTTTGTTCCCCTGTAGCCTTTCACCGAGTGTTTTCGTCAAGATGCTCCGCCTTTTGTAATATACCAATTGACAGTTGCGCCTCTTGAAACCTACTTGATACAAACGTGAGCACCTGGGAGATTGCCGGGGATAGTTTGTGTTGGCCACGTTGTATACAACTACACTCTTATTTTTTGTCGTGCAACTCATGAAGAGGTAGCCCTTCAAAGGGGCTACCTCAAGCGTTCTCTGTACAATCCTACGTGCTAGAGGCAACCAATTATAACTGATTATATATATATATATACCTCGCCCATCGCGCCAGTGAGTAGGTAAAAATGTACCACATATATAAGCGGTAGACGTGTGCGCATCTTTTGGCCGATTGGTCCAGTTTGCTGCCTGATGCGGGTGTGTGAAGTAGGCTCACGCTCACGCCCACACATGTTCCGACTTTTCATGCGGCCCTCCCTTCTCCAGTGATTGTGAAACCTTTCTGCACAGAGTAAGACATTGCTTCAAATTACATTCACAAAATGTTGACATTTACAGTACTGCTTAGCAAAGAGGTGTCCTAACTTTGCTATGAAGCATAATCAACCGTTGTCTTCGAATAGCACACTTTGCTGACACTTTCGTTTTTCCTCAGAATGGGAACTGTGACCTTCGCAAAATGTTCTTTTCACTGTAGCCCTTGCTTGCTTCCAGGCTTTGGACCTCCGATTTCATCAAAACCAGCAGGTTTGGTTTCCCCAGAGCGTGCGCTTTGCAGGTCATGTGTGGTTTTTCACGTGACACGTCATGTTTAGTCTTCCCTTGCTCATATGCAAGTGTTTGAAAAACCAAGGTTTTGGATGGAATCTTGCTCAAAGCTCACTGCCTGATACACAGCTTCAGGCGAGCACACCGTTGGCATTTCAATCAAGTCCAGCGGAATTAAACTAATGTGGGAGCAGATCGGATGTCATTTCTACAACTTCAACACACTCCGACACCATTTGGCTCAACTGTTTTTTCGAGTTCTTCTGAGTCAATATTTGCATCGGACTCGTTTGGGCCCCAGACATGTGACAAGTTGAGCAGATCCTTTGCATGAAGGGTGCGCGAGCGGGAGTAGGCGTAGGTGTCTGCTCTGGATGCAAATCTGCCGAGATGACTTAGGTACTTACTAAAGGAGCCGCTGACCGAATGACCATCCGTGTTTTGATGCTGGCCAGGGTCCTGAGTGCAACACCACTATGCACTGCATGCGTCGATTGACTTGAGGCATTTGCTAGATATGGAACGCGGGCGTTTGACGTTATTTGTATTGACGAAAAGAACGGCACGTGGCCAGTGCAAAGAGATGAGGATTATGTGCGACAAGCATCCGTGCTTGCCAGTTTCTTGAATGTACAACTTGCTTCGCTTTCACAGCTTGTTTGCGTTGTTTGTTTCTCTCCAGCTACTGAGGTTTTGGCCATGGGTGTGGCAATCGAGGTGCCCAAAGAGACCGATTACAGTTAAAAGAGAAGATGCAAGACAGCTGAAGGGCTGAGCAGTTATATAGCTGCAGTAAGCCATTTGCCGTCCTTTGGGCCAACAGGAGTTTGCAGAGAGCGCGGTCGAGAATGACAAGGAGTGTGCCACTTGCCTAAATGACAGAGCCATTGTTTTCCGCTCCGTGTGGTTGCTGAACTCTTGAACCCGCTTTGATATGATACGGCACCTTTTACATGGCACTCTCCACACACTCTGTAGCAATTACTAGCTCGCTTGATTTTGGATTCTTTACAGCTGAATCTCAGTCCCTCTCCTTGCTGCAGAGCACCATGCAGCGCTCTGATGGTCCCTCGGACTTATGGAGGGAATGGGTGCGCCTCTCTCGGGAGAGGATTCTTGGGGCACCTACTCAAGCGGCTTGTTTTCTTGGGGCACCTGCATGAGTTGAAAGGCGACATCGGAAGGAGACATATGTGTTTGTGGTAATTGCAGGCGTTCGACGAACCTACCTCAAGACGGAGGGAGACGAGGCCAACCAGGTGGACAAGGCCACGATCCGCGCACTCTGACGAAAAGCGGTGCAAGGTTCACTGACTACATAGGATTTGTCATTGGACTACGTTGTGGGATTTGTATGCAAAGGAACTTGAAAGAAGCGACGGCGCACTGTACTACTGTATGGACGCGCAGACCAGACCTCCCCAAAAGAAAAAATACAGAAAAGAAGTCATTTGTGTGCATGTCTATATAGTCCTCAGGAACAAACTTGTCAACAAATTCTACATTTATTGACAAGGACACGGACAGATTTGCACATGTCATATAGAAATATGCCAGTCAACTCCCATTGCAGCCTCATTTGTAGCAGAACGTTTTCTACAGCTTCTTCTTCAACAACGCGTGCTCTTCTCTTTGCTGGGTCTGCAGCCCTCCTCCGGGACACCCCAGGGTGGTAGCCACTCTACTCACCTCTTTGCCCGTACCTTGGACAGATCATTCAGATTGAGAAAGCCAAGGTCACCAACTCTTGTTTGTGCTTCTTTGGCTCCTTCTGTATCTCAACGGCATTATGCTCTGCTTCAAGGGGTGGAGCCAAGCAACTTCTCCACTTCCTCCCTTCCTCGAATCTCTGCAACACATCGGGCTCGAATTCAACCACAGCTGCCTCATCGTCAGCCCAGACCTTCGTGCCCGTGCACCCCGACCCCATCTTCTTGGACCCCTGGGCATTCTGCAGTGAACAGAGCACACAATGTACCTCCGCAAGCCGTTCGGCTACTCTATCTCCCTTGAGAGTTGCTTTCAACAAGCAGATGCCACTGGCACAACCTTTCAGAATGACGCGGCTCCTTGACCAATACGTCAGCTCCTCATTCCTTTTGGCATTCCCTAGGTCATTTTCGCCTGCCAGACAGTGCTCCGAAAACTCAGAGTCACTGCAAACTTAGCTCTATATCCCCTCCTTGACGGACAGCGAAGCCAGCTTTTGCAGCTGAGGGGGCCTGTGGCCAAGCGCTTGACATAATATCATTTGCCATCGGCTACCTTGACACAGCAAGACCTCCACGGACTTGGGTTGTTTGCTGGGCACAGCAGCTGACAAAGGCTCCATTCCAGATATCCTTCCAGGGTCATGCTGCAGCATCTCGACAGCAGACACCAGGAAGGTGTCGGTTCACTTTTTGCTCTTTACTAACCAGGCTGGAAGTCCGAAGGGCCCAGCGGTGTTGCTCATGACCGATGACCGTTTTCAATGGCGTGCGCTCAGTGGCCTCTTTCTTGGCTTGATTTGATGTGTGCATCCCGGCCGCGCTCACCTCCTTTGAGGCGCTCCATGCAAGCTGATGGCATCACCATCGCATGCTGGTTCGGAGTCATACACGGTGGCTCAAAGCTGCTTTGGGGACACTGAGTGAGCAGACCTTCCATGCCAGCTGCCTGGCGAAAGTGAAGGGCACAGACCGTGCCACCTCTGGTTCGGACACAAACAGCCCTATCAGCCATTCCAGCAAGGTCTCCTGGTACCAATTCTTCACACTGTCTCCCTACTTCTCCCATTCGACTCCTGAGCCTAGCGCTATTTTTACCCCGTCCATAGTATGGGCACAGCTCCCTGAGAAACCTGATTCACAAAACCATGACGACACGACACTTCCGAAGAGCTTATAACATCAATTGCGCATAGTAAACAATTTGCAATTTTTTTGTTTCCTGGCTCAGCCTGTCATTGAAGATCGCAATCTTTAGCGCGTCGACCCCATGACCTAGTGACTTGAAATGTGTTGTTTGAGGTGAATGATGCGGTAACGCCAGCGTCTCTCCTCACTGTCGATGCCGCGGAAGCTTCTCAAAAGGCCCATGCAATAAGCTTTGGAGATCGTTGACAGCTTTGTGGGTGTTTCAATTCCTTGGCAGACTGAGCACAGCCTCCTGAAGTCTGCATTCCTGAAGGATGCCTGGAACTTGTTCAAGGGCTTCAGTGTTGTAGGATGCTGCCCCTGTCAGAGGTTTCCTTGACTCAGGTCGCCCAAGCAATTCTCGACAACCAAGTTGAGAACAGAACTATGGCACGAGAAGCAGCCCGTCGCCGTGTGAGCACCTCAGGCCGAGAACCTTGATTCAGCCAGCGCAAAATAATGAACGCATATGATTTATAAAATCAGAGAATATTTTAGGGAGGCACACTTGTTTGACTTCTTTGCTTTGTTGCTCTTTGGCTTTCAGCTCTTCTCTTTCGTGCCTCTCTGCTCTTGTCTTCTTTTGGATTCTCTGCTTTTCAATTTTCGGCTCTTCTTCTTGTAGATTTTAAAATATGATGTACAAGTTTCCTATTTTTTCTTTATTTGTGCTCTTCTTGCACCTTTACATTTCTTCTGCGTCGCTTTTCTGCCTGGGTCGCGTTGCTGCTATTGTTTCCTTGCTTCGCCTTTTTGACCACTACTGGCACGTCAAGCACGAGGAAGCAAGCTATTAAGGTAGCATTCCGAAGGCAAGCGAGCACGCCAGGAAGCAAGGCAATTGCAAGCGACAAAGCAAGCAGGCAGGCAGGCAAGCAAGCAAGCCAGCCAGCCAGCCAGGAAGATAGCAAGCCACAGCAAGGACAGGGCAGGCAGGGCAGGGCAGGAAGGGAAGGGAAGGGAAGCGAGGACACAAACCGTAGGCCGTTCCGCCGACTGTCAAGAGGATGCCGGCCTAAAGGCATGGGGTTGGTGACCACATTGCCGTAAGAGGTGCAACCTCAGTCAGCAAGGGGACAGAGCAGATTTGCACACATATTCTAGTATATACTGTAATGATTCTAGCACAATTTTCCCTCCATCATCTTGACCCGCAGCACCCACCCGGCTGTTCTCCAACTTGCCAATCAGCTTTCGGCACCTAGGCGCTGGGCTGATAGCTCTGAGAGGGCTTTGTCTTCAAACTGCAGCTATCCCCACGTTGCCGTGCGAAAACCTGATCCACTTGTGCGCTGTGCGGCTATGGATTTTGGTGATCATGCCAATTTGTCCTTCGCTGCTTGAACCTTGTGCAACGGTCATGTTTCAGGGCAAACACTGCTGAGCGCATCGGCATGGGCAAGGCTGTAGCTTTGCTGGATGTCCCTTTTTTCTTGAAGAGTTGCAATCTTGTGAGACAAAAGGCCAGCCCCTGGACTTACCTTCAGGCTGTTGATTCAGCAGCCCCTGGCGACCAAATAATTAGAACAAAGCGTGTCCAAAAGGGGAACCTTGGCAATCACTCAGAAGACAGGCGTGATAGCCTTGACTCGACATGCAAACTGGCCAGCCTCTCATGCCGCCCATGCCAGTGAAGGAAGGCACGTCATGTTGTTCCCTCCAATCCGCTTCAGGCGCTTCTGAAGCGGCATCCGGAGCTGCTTGTCATCAGCGTTTCAGGCACAGTCACTACAGTAGCTAGAGTTGGAGGATGTCGAGATGGGTTCATGCCACTCTCATTCTACACGATGTCCGTTTTTTTGTATTTTGTGAGGCTCTGCTCAGAATACGGGGACCTCTTTGTTTGCCTTCGACGCTGTGGTCACGAAGGCCAGCCGTGGAGCTGAGCTGGTGAGTCAGTGGTGAGCTGTTTTGTGCTGATTCTGGTTGCCCTGATGTGAATGAACTAATTCTGCTGCTTTGTCGACTGCGACAGTCAATGCACCCGCCACTCAAACACTCACAGTATATGTATATATATAATTGAACAATGTGCAGGGGAGTGCAACTGCGCCAACCCGAGCATGCTTGAGAATGTGCCAGTGGACTGCTTGGAGATCGGTGAGATCATGAGCTTGTGGCAGTTTGATGAAGAGTGTAACGTGTTCACCTTTGCGAAGTTTTGAACAGTACGCCCAAGAAACTTGGACAGGTTTTGGGACTCCTCAACCCATTTTCATATTGGTTCACTGTTGGCTGATTGATCACGCCATTGCAACAGAATCCACAAGACTCAAGACATGGGTTGATGCTATGTTCTGAAGATGCGTTCGAAATCGTTCGAAGCTTAGGGCCTAGCATTTATTGAAGAACAAGTTTGCCGTGACAGGTCTGTTCAGCACATCACTCCTAGTGCCTGGGTCACAGTGCCAAAATGATTCAAGTTAATCACATTTGCACCCGAGGTAAGTCGTAGGATTTGAATGATTCCAAGGTCGCTGCACAGATAATTTTGCATTGGCCCCAGCGCTACCAAATTGATGAATCCAAGGTCACTGGGCTTTTTGTAGTCGTTTGAACAGGATGTTTAGCGAGTGAAGGCTCAGGTGTCCATGCTTGGGATTAACTTGTGGCATTGTTTTCTTAGGCAGTCCATGAAAGAAGTCAAAGCTGGAGAGTCCAGTGGCCAGGTTAAACTGGCCTGGATTGCCGCTTTTTGCTTGGGGTCGGCAAGTTGATATTGCATATGCCCTTTGTGAATGGAGAGCTTCTCGATACTGTATACTGTAGGCAAATTATGTGACACTTATATGTTATATGGCACTGGCTTTGCAGGTGCGCATCTCTGTCACGAGCGCACGTTGGTTTCTCAGCCACCTGCTTCTTCCTAGTGCCCCTGGGAATAGGAGACATCGAGAATGACTTGAGCCTTGAGTCATGTTGGAGTGGAACCACAGTTGCCCGTCAGTCATCCCACGGCAAATGAAGCGCCTTGGAGCCAGTCAGTGGTGGTGTTGGGCGGCTGAGGCTGAGAAGATCCTATTTATTGGAGGTGAACAGTGATCACGTGGCCTTTGTACAATCTGAACATTGGCTTGTGCGATGCCGGTGCAAGCCGCAGAATCAACTGGAGCTTGCACCGCCTACATGACACCTCATATTCAAAATCAGAGGGTGATGTAATTCCAGCAATCGAAAGCAACGATTTGCAACCTCGCGGTTCTTAGCTTTTGTAATTGTCGGACGCCCGGCCCCTTATTTTGGATCGTGCAGCAAGCGGCCTTTCGAAAGGCCTTGCCTTTCCAAGCAAAATCACGTGCTTAGAAACTACTTTGTGCGACAAAGATACCTAAGGCTAAGGCATGCAGCTGTTAAGTGGATGATGGTAAAGCCTGCTAGCCAATACTTTGCAAGCTCCTTTGAAAAAAAAGTGGGTAGTACTGTAGATGCTGTAGACATCTTAACATGGAACCCTGACAGCCACAACTTGGAAGCAGTGAGTGGAATCGATACAGCGCACATGACCTAGCCGAAGCCATGCTGTTTTATATTTTGTGCCGGCGCCGTAGATTTTCCACGTGCTTTTGTCGTTTGTCACTAATGTGCTGACCAAAACTTTTGGAAGATCCTTTGGCTTATATGGGAAGACTCTTGATTGGCATTTGAGGCTTCTTCCTCACACTGCCATTTCTGCTTGTCTTGCTGTCCTATTCTTGGCAGGGGGTTGAAGAACCAAGGGTCGTTGTTCGAAGATCGAATTTGATCAGGTTGAGACTCCGAGCCAGTTATGCTTCCTCGCAATCGAGCATTGGCAAGGCGGGGTGGTGGAGTTTGAGTTGAAAGGTCACCGTTCAGGTTGCACAGTGCACGGCACACCAGGAGCTGGCAGGAAAAGAGACCATTGTCCCTAGCCTACCTGGAACGCGTCACGGCAGTGAGATTGGTGGGAAGTTTCTTGGTCCACTTGAGGCTTTCTTCCATCCTTATGCTCACGCAGGGGGTGGAGGTGAGCGCGTTTTGTGGTGCTTGGCCTAGACGCCTCAAAGCCTTTGACAACTTTGACAACATTTGGAACAAGGGTGTTGCTGAGGTGCTCGATCCGCGCTGTGCAGCAGAGATATCCAACAGTGCCCATGCTGCCTGTACCAAGCTTGCCACACGCTGTGACCATAGCTTACGAGGTGACTTGTGTCGTGTACACCGGAGACACTGACGTAACGCCTTCGGAGTTCTTGTTGCAGGCCAGGCGCTTATGAAGATTCACAGGTCGAAAGGGTTCAAGGCACTTGCAACGGTCTGATGTTGGTTCATGTTGAGTTTGCAGGCCAAGAGGCAATTCGGGGTGGACATCAACAGTGCAGGCCAATTTGAGTAATTGCAGGGCTGCGCAGTTGGCAGAACACATCTGGTAAGAAATTCTTGACGCTCTTTGTGCATTGTGGACTAGGTATTCGCTTTGTTTTCCTCCATTCCAGACGATGGGTCGATGCATCGTCCTGGCGCGTGCCTGAGCTTGCGCAGCTTGCGCCCGCTTGGAGATGCACATCGCTGATTTGCAAGGAAACGCTTCACCCTCATCGGCCAAAGCAGGGGCCCCCTTCGGTAAAACAGAGTTCACAAAGTCTGACTGTACCTGACGACCCTTTGGCAGATCGCTTCGGTTCAACCAAGGTCTAGGTTCTTTAGTGGTTGGCCAGGCGGCCTAGATGAGTGCCATTTGGGTGGTGATTTCTTGCACTCACAGCTGTTCTGAGGATGGGAAGCTTTGTGCCAGTTGCGTCCCGATATTTACATAGACTCAATGGGTCACGCCGTCATGTTTGATGAGCAGAGTGTCTGGATATTCACTTGGTACAACCTTTGAGATCCTTTTAGGATCTTTTAGGCATGATTCATGATGAAATTCAAGCACGGTCCTACGACGAACGGAAGAGACATTGTGCACCCTAGCATGAACACTCAGGAAAACCTAGAGGGCCTATTCGGATATTGAGAGTGCGACAGAAATATTGGAGCCAGGTTATGCTTTCACGCTACCTTTGTTCAGTCTTCTGGCTGGTTCGCGGGTTGGATGTTATGCACCAGGCTTAGGCAAGTGTGCGTTCACTGGTAGCTCAAGCGCCAATTCCAAGAGATGAGGTGCATTACCCGACAATATCCACCGACATGCTGGAGCAGGTGGAACCCATGTGCAATGGATGCTGCATTTTTTGTGGCAATGCACCGTGAAACTCATATGGAGTTGGAAAGTGTTCCAGGTTCGCACAAGAAGCTAGCCCCTTAGCTATTTGGCAGCTCGCTGATAGTTGGAATGCTGCATGCAGATCCTTCTTGCCAGAGTTCGGTTGAGAGCATTTTGTGAATCCAGTTGCCCAAAAGCGTGACCGCCCTTGCGGCGCCGAGTTAACCTGCGGTTTGTGCTTCAGGAAGCGATGGCGTTTGCAATGACGTAACTGTGGCACGTTCCTCTTTGCTGTCCGCAGCAAAGTTGCACTCCTGGCACAATTGAACACACGAGTCTTGACAAGGATGGCCAACTAAGCCCCAATCTTGCTCTTGGCTTGAGGCGGAGCCATGTCTTTTAACATCGCTCGCAGGTTTTACTACAAGATCTTTGCTGGTCTGTACGGACTGGCTGGGTGACTGGCTTGGACTAATCACAGCAGGGCTAAATATGGCAAGTGGTGCGGCCGGAATGTTACCCAAGCTGAGGAGCTTTGCCGAGGCGTGCCTCACGACAAGAGCAGAGTTGAGAGTGAGAGTGAGAGAGAGAGAGAGAGAGTGAGTGAGTGAGTGAGTGAGTGGCTCAAGATTTGGGCTCAAGTCGGGACTGTGGTGGCACTTCGACAGATCCCACGTGGCCCAGAAGATCTAGGTGACCCCTACCTCCAGGTGATCACCAAGGGTGTCTTCACCATTGCCCGTGATAGAGACCAAGTTTGAGGCGGTCCTTGTCATCTCGGAGGTTGGCCATGATGGCTCCAGCCTGGGAGCACTGGGAGTTTCTGCGGAGACGGAACAGGAGAAGCTACCTGGTGTGTGGAGGATGTGAACATTCATGGATCTGGTGTGACCGAGTCAGCACCAGGTGGAGATGTGACAAATGCAGTACTCCATGGCCTACAGGAGGCGCCCCCTGGAAGCTGCCAAGATCACCCTCAAAGAAGGTCAGGAGGCCACATGGACGAGATCGAGTACAGGTGGAACCACCGCCCGGATTGGTCAGCAAACCCAGGCA